TATAAGATCACTGCATGTCACACTGTGCGACATGGATGTAATAAACTTGGCTACGACATGTGTGTAGTAGGCATGGGCCGGTATGAGATTTTGACGGTATGATAACCTTAAGCAAAAATATCACGGTTTCACGGTATTGTCGTTACAGCTCTAAAATTTGTTATTTTTAAATGACTGGGTAAAAATAAACACTTTTTCCCGCTGAACACAATATATTTTGTTTTTGAGCAACACAGACTATTAGGAACAGTAGAATTTGTTTATTTTTTCTTTGATTTGCTTCCTAAAAAGAAGAAAAATAAAGACACATCTTTATTTAACCTAAATCTGAATTTAAAGTTATTTATTTTTAGTTATATAATTCATATACATAACATTTATATAATTTCATATAATTTAGTTATATAATTTAATATACATAATTTGATTTAATAATAACCCAATTTGAAGCAAAAACAGAATGTTCTGACTAGCTTTGTGAAAAAAAATAACAATAATAAAATCAAGAGCCAGATCACATAAACTGTTAAGACTGGCTATTGTAATATCAGCGTCAGGTAAGATTACTCACGTTCATTTCTGTACTCAATTACATAATGTTTTAATTACAGATGTACCTTTATGAAAATTAAACATGGGTTTACTACAAATAAATAAATTTAAAAAAAAATTGGTTTTGCTATACTAGCCATTTAGGTTCACCATGGTATTTGTAGTAAAACTGATTATACTAATGGTAATCAATCCGAATGACTAACTTATACGCAATGCACGCATACAGAGTGCGTGATCTCTAAAATGCCCAGATGTACAAAACAGACCCTTCCACCTCTGTAATAAACACAGAGATGTTAGTCCCGTCCGAATTGGTACATGGAAATCGCAGACATCAGGTGATAAGAATCGAAACTCAAACGTAGTTTAGAAAACTAGTCCTGTCCGAATAGGGCTTTAGTCACATTTTCGTCAAGCTGTATAATGGTTAAACTGATCAAAATTATTTTTGCTCAAAATTAGAATCATAATGATTGTTGTCATTTGAGAACATTTCAGGTATTGCACTTTCAAAACTTTTTCAAAATGCACAAATTAATAGAATGTGGACTCCTACACATGGTGTATTTCACCTCATCTAGTGTACTGATTTATTACAGGCTTTTTATTATATAAATTAATACCAACGACTTATGCAATCTCTCTGTCTACATTATGAAAACTGCTAAAACAAACGAAAAATATTATAACCTTCCAAATGGCAATAGCCTATTTCTCTATTAAACAGCGGTTGAGTAAGTGCATTTATTCAGCGACCACAATCGCAAACAATACAGTCGAGATCTCATGACAGAACACAGTCCGGCTGAGTGACACTTTCATTTAGATCGCTAAACTCCAGCTTATTTGTCTGTGTTTTCAGATCATCGGCGGCGGCGCTTCCGCAATGAACAGCGAGCACGTGCGCATGGTTGCCAGTAGGGCTGCACGATTAATCGAATGTGATTGTCATGCGCATTTTGATAGTAATGCCGGTTCTGTAATCAGCAGGAAAACATCACG